CCGTTCTTCAAGATCAAGCCCAAAAGCCCTTGAAGATCCGTTCATCCAAGATCAAGCCTCGATGGCCCTTGGATCAATCGCACATCCACAAATCAACACCTTACGGAGATCGAATCAGAGGATCAAATTACAAAGAGATTGTAACCCCAAAATCATTAATACAAAATATATTTTGTACACGTGTTCTTGTCTCGTTCGTTATCAGGAATTTTCGTGTTTACAGTGGCACAATTGAATTGAAATACTGCAAAACAGAAAAGTAGCTAGCAGACATTTTCACCAAGGCTCTAGCTAAGGATCGATTTAAATACTTGAAAGCTACACTTGGAGTGAAATCAGCAAAACATTTAGAAGGGAGTGTTGGTGTGTAAATTTATTTGTTGTATTTGTTCTTGCTTATTCAAGTTGTAGGATTTATGTAAGCCATTGGATCATATTCCATATGGCATCTTTGATTATATTTTATTGAGTCTTAGCTCATGACAAGTGTAAGCATCTTATATGATGACTTAAGATTGAATGGTTGTGATGATTTTGTAATGATGAGAGAGTGTGAGTTGGCTCAGCTCCTCCTCCAACGGTCATATATTCTCTCCACATTTCTAGTATGAGAGATAGAATCCAATGAAGAATTCTCAAGCCTTGAAACTTCTATGATTCTTTGATCTCATTCTACTAAGTTTTCCATTTCATAAAACTATTTCATTGAATCCATTCTACCCAGAATCAAAATACTAACAACGTGAATATCATTGCCAAAATGTTTGATACTATGAGACATTTTAGTGCATCAAATATAAATAAAGCTAATTTAGCCAAAAGTCAACAAAATTTTTACTATTAAGCCATATATCAATAACATATTTCTGTTTTGGACTTAATCAATGATATAATTGTATTAATTAGGCATAGGTCAATAATGAATGCCCATAGGCTTTAAGTCATATAAATAGTTAGAATTTGACTATTCTATCATTCTCTCTCTATAAATGTCATATGGGCTTAAACTATTATAAATACGAATTTAGATCCTCTTCGGATCAATTTTGTGAGATCCTTCAGACCGAGGATCTCATCCATTGATAGAAATCCAACAGCCAAAATCTCTTATCCTTCCTCTTTTCCCCTCAACTCTTCCCTTTCTTCCTCACTTTGAAGCTCTCAACCTCGAACCATCAACTCCCCAAATTCCAAATTAATTCAACTCCACATCAAAATCAGCCTTAACAGCGCCACAATCCACCCAACTCACAACCACCAATTGCAAGTCCCTCACCTTACCTCTCCAAAATCAGCCCCAACACCGCCACATCCCTCAATTGCAAATCCCTCAACTTAAAATCTCAACCAATGTTAACAAAACAAACAAAGAGAGAGGTCGCTTAAATCAATGTCTTTTGGTTGTAAAGATCTTTTTATAACTATGGAAGAATATAGAGAGAGAAATCTCAAAGATGAAGAAGAAAGACATGACAAAAAAGACAAAATAGTAAGGGATAGTGAAAAAATAAATCAGACTTAGAGCATAGATGACCTGCAATTGAATTTGGGGTTGGTTAACAACAGTGGGGGTGTGAGGGTGCTAGGGAGAAAGACGAGTTGTGGGGGAAGAGAGGCGGAGGAAGAGGCTTTGGCCGTTGGATTTCTATTCTAATGGAACTGATCTTGAGAGGATATGAATCTTATAAATAGTTAGAACATGTATATTCTATCACTCTCTCTCTCGCCCTTAGTTTACATGGAGGAGTCTACTCAACTCAAAAAAAAAAAAAAGAAAAAAAAAAAAAAAAAAAAAGGAACCAAGAAATGGACATTGCATTGTAGTGTCCGAATCAAAATGTAAAAAAAAACATAACCAAGAAACAGACACTGCATTACAGTGTCTGAATCTAACATAAAAAATAAAGCCAGGAAACGGACATTGCTTTACAATGTTTGAATCTAAATGTAAAAATCAGGAATTGCGTGGATGTAAAGTGTAGGGACGTTGAGTTATGAAAAAAATAAAACCAGGAAACAGACACTGCATTGCAATGTCTAAATCCAAATGTACAAATAAACTATAGAAGGCGTGTGGGTGATCTAAAAAAAAAAAAAAAAAAAACACACTAGTAAATAGACATTGCAACGCAGTGTCTGAATCCAAGATTCCAAATGTAAAAAACTGAATCAGGAAACAGACACTGCAATTCAGTGTCTGATCTATATTGACTTACTCTAAAAATTAAACTATGAGAAATAGTGTTAGTTGAAGTGGGTGCCAGCTGTAGTGGCAGATTTTGTAATTATTGTTTATTTTAAATGCATTTAAGTATCACAATACATAATTGATCTATTTATAAGAGAGCTGTTATTCCCACCCCAATGTCTTATCTTCCCACCCACATTTTAATGAATTTTTTAATTACAAATTTGTCCATTTGTAAAATGACTAATAAGGACCTTAGTTACCCCTTTCACATTACTTTTTTTTTTTTTTTTTTAATAAAAAAGAAAAAAGAAAAGTTTGGACGTGATAACTCTCACGCTATGTTTAGAAAATTTGTCTCCCTTAAACCCTAACTCATCCTTCCCATCTCCTTTCATTCAGAGAAAGAAAAAAGAATGAACTTAGAAGATGACGTTTTTATGGAAGAAGTAGATGATTATGTTTCTGTCGAAGACATAAAAGATAATTTTATGTGGGTCATCTTGATTTGCTGACTTCGCACAATTGAAGCATAGCTCTGTGACTTTTTATTTGAATTTGCATTAGATTGGGGTGCAATTTGGTTTTTAATGAGAATTTCTGGAATTGAAGCATAGCTCTGCCGACATCGTTCATTAGGTAAGTGTAAATTTGTTGCATACTGCTATAGGCGTGGTTGATTTAGAATTGAAAACCTAAACAATGGTAAGCGTGGTTGATTTTTCATTAGCCCGTACTTACCACAAGCACCACCTCTCTCTCCCTTTAAGTTAGAATTGAAGCCGAATTAAGTTTCAATTGTTGCATACTGCTGTCATACAGTAAATTTGTTTTTTAATGTGTGTATGACAATACAAGAAGGCATTGACCTGTAATTGAAATAAAAAAAATATGGTTCTTTTATGACGTAAAAAGATCATCATGTTCATACCAAGTGCAAATCGACTTTTAAAGACAAACATATTGCAAGACAAAGTAAACTGCTGAAGGAAGTTAAAACATGGGTTCGGACTTGAGTAAGCTTCTCCCTTTTCAATCCCAACCAAACGTGTAGGCTGAAGATTAGAAGACCTCGGTTTTATTTTATTTTTTTCTGGCTTTTAGAAGAGAGTAATATTATTTGTTTATATTCTTTTCTTAAGAGAAATTTATCTCTAATTATATATAGGGTTATTTTATGAATAATAGTGGATGGGAAAATAACGTTTTAATTTTTTTTTAACTTTTTATAATGGGTGTAAATATAACGTGGGTAGAAAAATAAGACAACCAGGTGAGTCTAGCAGCTCTCATTTATAATTAACATAAATATTGTTGATATATTGTTAATTGTAATTTTTTATTGATTTTTCCCAAAATCACCCTATAAATAAATGTTGTTTCCGAATTGAAAGAGATTAAGAGTTCAGATTATTCTATGAGAAACTTGAATATATAGGAACTCTGATCACTGCCGTTTTTTAGAAAACAAATCAACTAGACTAGAGATTCTCTCTTACACCATAACGCTATAAAATCATTAGACCGTTGACTGTTTACCACGTGTTCAAAAAATGAACACATCAACCAACAAATTAGCTTGGAAAAGAAGCATCACTGAATTGTTGGTCTTGATACACAAAGGATCCCTCTCCGGATCCATTCAACCAAATTCATATCAACAATCAATTCAGATCCTTAAAATTTGATCCAACGATTAAAGTTATTATAACTTTTAAAGAAATCTCCTGTTTTTAGCCGTTTAATCAAATTTGAAGAATCCGGATTGATTGATGGGATATATTTGATGAAAGTGATTCGGAGAGAATTCATTTCCCTTGCATACAATATTTTACTACCTGCTACTACTTTATCCAAGTTTATAAATGTTTACCAACGAGACTAGTATTAGGGGGTTTCAACGAGGACTTGTATAACATGGGTACTTTGTTACGGTTGGATTTCGTGTCATTAATACAAAGGTATGTGTTTGTTTTTCTTCAAGTGTCCTTGTATCATTGACTTGACGTCAATATGACGGTGGATTTGTATCATACGGGTCGGTCTCAGCTTTAAATATATTATTCCAACTTATTTATTTTCTTTCTAACCTTCTGTGTTCAATGTACGTTTTGCAACAAAAACTTAAAATAAACTATAATTATATAAAGTCCCAACAAAATGATTAGATAACTTGATAAATCCTCAGAAGTTCAACCGAAGGAATACCCTCGCCCACGAGGAAATCCCTTTCGCAATTTCAGCCTCTGGATATTAATTTGTAATTTTTTTTAACAAACGATATTATACATACTAATACGAAAGGAATATGCTAGTAATAATATGGTTTAAATTCACCTTATCAATTTCCAATTAATAAAGAGTTACTAAACTCATTGCCCTATTTTTTCGCTTACATTTTAATAAAAAATTTAATTACATATTTATCCATTTAGAAAAAGACTTTTAAATCCTTATCCATTTCTCTCCATCACCATCTCTCTATTCCCTGTTCTTCTCTCTTCCATTTCATCTCTCTCCATCCGGGAGGAAGATCCATGTTTTTTTCCGGCGGCGGAAGAAGTTCAAGAATCCGGCTACAGGTAGCATTTCTCATTGTTCGTTTCTATGATTCCAAATATTTTAGTCAATTTGTAGTGTTTTCCAATAAATTTTCAACTTTTCGACATTTTAATGCAATTTTAATGCCTCGTTTGGTAAGTTTATATTTGGTTGAATTAATTAATTAATTAATTTCCTTTTCACCATTTTCATATTTCTTCAAACTAGTCAATCAATATGCTCAATGTTTGAAATGCGCATCCACATTGGATTAAAGTTAAACCAAAGAATTTTTAACATAAAAATGATTAATCTGTACAAAATACCAGTGTCAACCGGCAATCATTCCTTGCGCCAATCAGACACCCACCTTGATAATATATTTTTAATTAGAAACAAAGACAAAATAGAATCCTCATCTGTTAATCTAATTCCATTAATCCCCACTGCTTGTATATACGCCCCCCTCCGACAACCTCACCGTGGTCAAAGCTGCAAAGCTAAATCCGGCTGCTGTTGCTGTTGTTGTTGCAGACCCATTTGAGGTAAGCCTGCGGCACCCAGCTTGACGTTCAAGTCCGAGGGGAATGTGTAAGCAACATGTTTATTGTGTAAGGATGAACCATTCCACGATGCTTCCCCACCAAGCACGTGGCTAGATCTCGGTCCACTTGAAATTTCTGACAATCTGGCTTCGTCTGAGCATAATGTACTGTGGGGTACAAGTTTGTCTGTGTGGTCATCAGATGCAGGGTTGCCTTGAACCCTCTGTTCCCTCTCACGGACTGAAAACGGTTGCATCCTCCATGTCTCATTTTCTCCTATCCATCCTGGACCAAACTTGATTCCAACAGGCAAAACACTTGCAATTTTCTTTGAAGCAACCTTCCAAGCAACAGGTCCAAGATTTGCGGCAAAACGAGCTAGACTCCTTGCATAACCATGCTCAAATTGTAGACCTACCTGGTTTATATATTGAGAAAGAAAAAAAAACATTAAACAAACACTAAGAAATTATGTTATACAAGAATCACATCTTTATACAATGAGCTACTGTCATTATACAGATTTACGAAGACATCTATTCACATGCAAAACAAGGTACATAATTCAAGCAAAGAGATTATTAGACTCCTATAATCTCCTTATCGAAGATCCACTTTTCTATTTTTCTAACAGCAACCCCCTTCCCCCGTCACTGAATAATTCCAGTCTCCCATTCAGAAAAGAATACAAGAATGTTCTCATTATACATACCGCCACAAGTTGCTTCCACTCTCCTTCACAACCAGAAAACATTGATGGCTCATCGCCAAAAGCCAGAGCTTGTGTATAAGTGTCGCGTCTGTTCTCATCTACTGTAAAATGTTTCTTTCCATATTTTAGATCACTCCTCAATACAGAAGCTGCAAACCGAAAAAGAAATAGAAAGGGTCAGCATTTGTTAAATAAACTAAGAGAACCAAATAAAACTAGGAAAAAAAACTGAAACTGAATAATGAGTACAAATCAGTGAAGCAGATGCAGTTGAAATCACATACCTGGAAATTCATTCTCCCAGCCAGGCAACCAACTAGCACCAGTTTCACCACTAAGAGACCCATGGGGGCCCATATTTAATGCATCAGAAGACCTGAACTTATGGGGAGCAGGCCGTCTTAGATTGTATGTGCCGGACAAGCTAGGATTCTCTCCTCCAGAAGCAAGAGTAGTTTCTGATACAAATTGAGGACCTACACGATCAAGTGGAGAGCCTTCAATTGACTTTTTCATGCTCTTGCCAGGTGGCCTGCCTCTCCTCGCAATTTTTGGTTTCGGATCACCGTCTTCATTTACTTGCCTCAAATTTTCAAAGTCCTTTTTTGCGAGCTCTTGTATAGATCGTGCCTAAAGAAATAGTCATTGTTAACCATCAAACATGGTGAGATTGCCTAAATAGGAAGAAGTGTAAGTTAGACGGGCCAAACCTGTCGAAAGTAAATAGTGTCTGGTGCATTATACTCCATTGCATTTGAACATATCAAGAACACATCTTTCTGCAGAAATTAAACATTAAGTCTTCAAATCCTGTCAAAGTTACTCAGTTAACAAGAAAAACAAATTAGAAGTAGAGCACGATACATCGGAGTTTAGTGCACCAAGAATAGAGTTCTCCGGTGAATCACACCATTTCACTATTCCTAACGTTCCAGTCATACATCAGGGTGCCAATGTAAAAAATGGTTAATAAAATAGACCAAGGCCAATAACTTGAATACCGAATGGAATGATAAGTTGCACTATGTTCTCAGTCCTGGATTCATTTGCCTTCTTTGACTAGCAACAGGCTCAACTTGAATTAACATGCCTTATATTACCATAATTAACATCTTCGTAATTTCCAAAAGACAATAATCTCTGGTGTACTTATCAATCATTCAAAAGCCACATCTAGGAAACACTCGTACATAAACCCTTCATTTATTTCTACAGCCGGTGGGAGGGAGAGTGAGCAGGCAAAGGAGATGAGAAAGAGAAGCGGATGCAAGTAGATGGTGAAATTGAGGCAGCTGTGGTGTGTGCGCATGCGTGTTTCAAAACTGAAACCTAGCAAGAAAAAGATCGTAATACAAACCTCAAACTGTTCCAAGTTGGAGTAAGCTCCATGATCTAGTTTCGTCCTCACAGTTCCAAAATCCATTGGGTTTTGAATGATTTCCTGATAATCAGGAAGCTGAACAACCAACATATTCACATCAAACCATGAAACCGTTGCTCGTAAAACAAGCCAATATCAGCAACAGAAGAAGCCATTTCAACATAAGAAAACACACCTCTTCTGGATCAACGGGCTCAGAGAACACCCCGCGAGTATCCCTTCTGCAACAAAGTTGAGACCAACGAGTGAACACCCATGGTGTCATTTCAAAGAGTCAATGAAAAAGACAACTACTTTGGAACCTAAGACACCTACTTTTGAAGCCTATCAAGGATGAACACCAGCAACTTTTTGTCTGGCAAAGGTGTCGTGGGACCGGACTCCACCTGCGACCCTGTCCACAGAAAAAGGTTGACAGTCATTAGAATTTATCCCCCAGGAGATACCTTTTGAGGCAAGACTTGCGATTGACTAACAGTGTCGTACCATGTAATAAACTGCTACTGTCTGTCGCTTTCAAAATCTCTTCACGGCTCTGCAAGAAACCATTAACACCAATGTCACTGCTAAATTTACCACTAACACAAACAAAACATGATTAATTTATTATTTAATTTTCTGCAATCATTGGAAAAGTAAATGAACAAATAAATCAAGAAAAGACAAACTGGAGCTTTTTCAGACAAGGTGGTCTGCGTCTTTCTATGGTACCATTTAACAGATGAAGAATTTAAATTAGGAAATAAAGAAAAACTGCCCAGATTCCAAATATATCACTTAATTAATATTAAATAATGTCCAAACACCCCAACGACTCCACTCCGCCTCCCAAAAACAGCTTCTGGTTTTCGCGCGAAAATCCCTAAAAGATTCTAATTCCCAAGATAAAGCAAAGATAAATAAATTTCATTACTTTTTTTCCAAATTAAGCAAAATATAAAGAAATTTCATCACTTTTCTCAAATTAATAAAAAAAAATATATAGGGAATTAAGTGCAACAACGACATGGGTTTGTGTTTAATTTGAGAAAAGTAAAAGGGTTTTAATTTTTGTAGTATGATGATCACCATATGATTAGATCCGCGATGGACGGTGCTGATCTTGAGAGCGGCCTCCGGATCCTCACCACCCGCGTTCGAATCGGAACCGTAGGCGCCCGAATTAAAGGGCGACAATGTCGGAGTCGAATTGGGATTAAAACCGAGGAGGGGCTTATGCTTCTTCTTTGCGCGCTCATCGTCGTCATCGGCTTCGGCAAGGGAATTGGACGGCGGGGATGAATCGAGAGGAGTAGGGTTCCGGCGTGTGGATAGACGGCGAGGGTTTGGGCATTGGTCCTGCTCCTGTTGTTGGAGGAGGGCGCGTTTCTGGAGATCCAGGAGAGAAGGACGACCTTTCTTCTTTTTGGTTGGAGGATTATTCATCGTCGTCATCGGCCGGCGTTTCTGTTTTCTGATGCCTCCACCTCGCCCCGCCTCGCCCCCCTTCACCTACTATTCTATTCTATCCAAAATTTCTCTTTCTTTCGCTCTCTGGCTCTAAATTCCTATTAAGCTACTTTTTCCTTATTATTTTTCTTTTTAATTATAGGAAGTTTGAGATGCAAAATGAAATTTTTAAAATGTCAATAATAATTCTTTTATTTTATAATTTTTTTATTTTTAATTTTAAGAAAGTGTTATTGGCATTTCAAAAATCACATTGTACACTCCTCATAAATGTATATTTCTTTCCAAATATAAAAAGTTTAGAGTTTAAAATGAAAATTTTGAAGTATAGAATGTGATTTTTAGAGTGCCAATAACAATTCCCTAATTTTATTACCTTATTTTATTTTTTTGGTAAATACCTTTTTTCTTTGTGAAAAAATATATTTATATGTTTATTTTCGGGTAATGTATTTCAGAACACTTGGGCTGCAGTTGGCAGTTCTCAGTCAAACGTCAAAATTTGAGATTTGGCTAGAATATTTACAAGGTATTCTACTTAAAATACTTTTTGATACAATAATATATTTATATTCGAATTTAAAAATTTTCATTTTTAATTAAAAAAGTAATATTCACACACCTATTTTTACGGTTTTACTTTCCACACACACTGTGACAGCCTGTCCCGAATTATTTGTATCGTAGGTGTGAAATGACGATTTTGCCCCTAGTGGTTATGTTTCATTTTGGGGTGTTTGTTTTGTGGGCTTATTGGCTGCATCTGGACCACACGCACACTCTTGTCCTCATCTCCTTCCCCCCTCTCTCTCTCTCTCTCTCTCTCTCTCTCTCTCTTTCTCTCTCCCTCTTCTTCCTCTTTCATACGGACAAGTACCAAAACCCTTGCAACCGTTGCAGATCGAGGTGGAAAGTCTTACCTTTGTGTTCGTGAGGACCATACGAGTTCAACCATACCAATTTCAGGTAAGGAATCATTCGATTTCACGTCGAACCAGGGAACCCCGATTTTGGTCACTGTTCATGCACACGTGAAATGTTGTTTTTCAGGGAATTTGAAGCTTGTAGGAAGCTTAGTAAGGTCCTTAGGAAGCTCAGGGTGGTTCGTTGGAAGGTTTTGGACGTCAGGATCGTGAATTGCAGGTTTGGACGGACTTTGTGAAGTTTCTACAGCATGATTTCGTGAATTTCAGGACTTGAAAGTGGTAAGGTTTTGTTCTACTTGTTGTAAGCTTCACTTTAGTGCCAATTTCATGAAATTTGGTTGAGAAACGAGTGAGAAACGAAGGTTTGAAAAATTTTCGGTATTCCGGCAACGGAGACGGCACCAGAGGTGTGTCGGAGAAGAAGACAGAATATTCCGTCAGTTTGGACGGAATATTCTTAATGGCGTCAGGTTAACTTTAACGGAATCTGTTAGTTTTAATAGAATATTCCCTAACGCCGTTAGGGTTGCCACATGTGTGCCAGGCACGTGGCGGCGCGTGGGAGGTCAGAAAAATATTTTAAAAATATGGGAATGTTCGTGAGGTTGAGTAGATCACGTTGGTGTATTCATACACCCCATTTGAGCATTGTATGAGAAGTTATTACCTAGTTTTGGTTATGTGCTTTAAATTAACGTTTGTATAATTGTTTCGCACATAGGTGAGACCTATCCCGAGGACGAGCGCAGTCACTCGAGGCAGGGGGTTACGACCCTTCCACATACCAGTGAGTGGGCTTTTGGTTTTCCGTATATACCTATTTACTTGTGGTTTTTCCCATAAAATGAAATGGAATGTTTATATGTTTTAAATGCCATGCATTGCGTTTGCCTATTTATTTATTCATTAGTAGTTGCATATATGTATGTTTGGTGCTGCGGACGCACAGGTAAGTGTCAGGTAAGTTATGGTTTATGTTGATGATTAGTAGTTATGTGAGATGCATAGAAAGCTCATAACCTGCACCCCCGGTGTTAGTGCTCCCACCCAGAGTAGGGCACAGTCCTTCACGTGATGTTCACCTCCCGCACCACACGCTCATCTTGGATCCAAGTTAGGTGCAAAGTCCTGTCGTACTGACCACTTTAGGTGGTTCCGACTCGTAGGTGACCCGCGATTATTCGCACAGTCTTCACGTGAACGTAGGACTTGAGCGTATTTATTTACACTGAGTCCTGTCGTACATACCACTTTAGGTGGTTCCGACTCGTGTGCAGGTATAGTTAGTGAGTTGGAGATTTGAGCTCTAGATTCAGTCGTACATATCACGTTAGGTGACTCCGCTGACATATTTACATTGCATTGATTGACATTACCTGGGTTACTTACAATTTATGTAGAGGCATTTGACATGGCATATCTCTGAGCATGTTTTCGATATATGTGTATATTCTATTTTCTGGGAAACTATACAGGTTTTACGCTGAGGGGTTAGAACTTTTGATATTGAAATGATTTTGAAAAGCTTTGTTTTTGCCCACTCACACTTTCTGTTTTGCGCCCCTCCAGGTTCTAGTTTGGATTACTCTTTTGGTGGCTCACGAGGAATCCACGACATATCTGACAGATTATCACTAGTGTAGGACCCCCTCGGGGTGTATTTAGTTAGTATTTGTTCCTCTGGACTGCACTAGGTTTTCTATGCTCTGAATATTGTGTTTCCCATTTACGTTTGCACATGTATGTTAACTACTCTGTGGGTAGTTTGATTTTTATTTATGCATACTTTTATTATTATTCTTAGCTTCCGCACTATGCACATGGTTACATCACCCTCACGTGACAGCCAGCACGCCTTGATTTCGGTCGGGGTGTGTCAGTTTGGTATCAGAGCCTAGGTTTGGCAGTCATGTATATTTTGTGAGTGTTCTTATTGTTTTGGTGTCTTCTGTCAGAACTATGTCGCCTCGTAGGGAACCACGTCGCTCTGCTGAGCCTAATTTCCCCGATATAGCTCAATTGGGGGAAGCTATCGCTACCGCTATTCAGTCAGCGCTCCGCCCTCCCCAGAGGACTCCTCTGGAGACCATGTACAATTTGAAGCTGGATAAGTTTGAGGGTCACAAGGGTTTTAAGGGTACTGAGCGGTGGCTAGAGCATATTGAAAAGACCTTTCGTGTATTGCATAATCAGGGGAATCTCCTTATTGAGAAGTGGGTTGAGACGACATCATGGTTCTTGGGTAAGGAATCGTCATCCTGGTGGGAACAAGAGGTATGTTGTTTGACCCCAAAGGAAAGGGCTGACTGGGAAGTGTTTAAGCAGTTGTTTAGGAAAAAGGTTTGTGCCTCCTGAGTACATTGATCGTAAAAAGCAAGAATTTACTGAATTGAGGCAAGGGAAATTGACGGCAAACGAGTATTATCAGAGGTTCACTGATTTATCCCGTTATTATCTAGAGGTTGCTGCCAATCCGGATGAGATGCTTCGTCGTTTTCGGTTGGGTACTAAGAAGAAGTGGCGTTCTATGGCGACCACTACCCCTTACGACTCTTACCAGGAGTTCTATGAGATTCTGTTGAGGATTGAGGATTCCGAGAACATGCCCAGCGAGAGTGAGGAGGAAGAAAAAGATGGCAATCAAAGGAAAGACGACAAAGGCAAGGGTCAGGCATCTCTAGGACCTCGCAAGACCCAGAGTTTTAAGCTAGGTGGGACTAGTTCCAGTTCTTCCAGTGGTGGTTTTAGTGCCACTGGTCAGGGAAGAGGAGGTAGATTTACTGGGGTCCTAGAGGCCAGAGGCAGGGTGATACTGGTAGAGGAAGAGCTCCGGTTTGCCGCTGGTGTAACAATCGGCATTTTGGAGAGTGCAGGAGACGCAGCGGTGGTTGTTTCACTTGTGGGCAGATGGGACATCGAGCTGCAAATTGTCCCCAGAGTCAACAGAGGCCCCAACAATCTTTTTTTCCACCACCTGCACCAATCCAGCAGGTTCCTGGCCCTGGTAGTTTTGGTCAGACGAGTTGTTGTGGTGCCTACTATTATCAGAGTGAAGCCATTCCTTATGCTCCAGGACAGTATCCGTATCCCCAAGATCCTTATTCTCGGAGTGGGTATCCTCAGTTTTCTAGTGGTTATATGTCGTATCCTCCCATTCTAGCCGGTGGATCTTAGTGGTACTAGGGAGGACAACCTCAGCAGGGAGAGATTGCTGCTAGTAGTGCGGGATCTTCAAGGCAATCTGGTCAGCCTAGTCAGGGGCATAATGTGCAGAGTCGAGGTGGTCAGACTAGTAGAGGTCATGGTGGACGATAGCAGACCCAAGGGCGTATCCACAACATTTCTCTGCAGGATGCTCAGAATAATCCAAACTTGATCATGGGTACGTTAAATATCCTTGGTTATTTTGCTAGAGTATTGATTGACTGTGGTGCTACACATTCTGTTATTTCTCATACATTTGCTTAAGTGATGCAACCTCACCCTACACCTCTAGGGTATGATTTAGAGTTTGCTATGCCTAGAGGGGATAGATGTATTGTTGATTGTGTGTATCCAGGATGTCCAGTGATGGTGGAGGATGTAGTTATGCCAGCTGACCTTATCCCGTTAGATATTGTTGATTTTGATGTGATTTTGGGCACAAATTGGTTGCATTTTAATCGTGCCAATATAGATTATTACGGGAAAATAGTTACCGTCCATCGTCCTGGATTACCTGTGGTTACTTTTGTGGGTGAGCAGAGTGGGGTGAGACATGGCGTTATTTCTACTGTGCGAGCAAAAAGGTTGTTATCGAAAGGTTTCCAGGGATACTTAGCTCATAAGGTGTTGAACGATGTTGCTCCTAGTAGCGTGGAGGACATAAGAGTAGTCAGGCATTTTCCTGATGTTTTCCCTGATGATTTACCTGGATTGCCGCCAGACCGAGATGTGGAGTTCACCATTGATTTGCTTCCAGGTACTAATCCTATATCCTTGACTCCTTATCGTATGGCTCCTGCTGAGTTGAGGGAATTGAAAATCCAGTTGCATGAATTAGTGGATAAAGGTTTTATTCAGCCTAGTACTTCACCCTGGGGAGCTCTAGTGTTGTTTGTGAGAAAGAAGGACGGGACTTTGAGGCTATGCATTGATTACCGGCAATTGAATCGGGTAACAATTAAA